GAGCAGAAGAGAAGAGAACATGGCAGTGTAAGTCAGAAGGCAACATTAAGCACTACTCAACTGGGAAAAAAGGACTTTTTCTTTCTTTTTGGGGTGCTTAACCCACAATCACAAGCAGAATAACAGTATCCCTTACATGAATATTGAATTAGCTTCTTACTGAAGTACTTACCCAAATATAATAAAGTCCATTATCATACATCAAAAAAAATGATACAGTACTTCAAAAAACTGGAGGCTGAAGACTCAAGTGAAAGGACTTAGAACTCAAGCCAGAACTAGGGATGAGCACTCATATGGAAACAGAGAAAGTAGAGGGAACGAAGTACATGCGTGCATTCACTCCAGGTCTGGCCAACACAACCAATTTTGTAATAGGTCAAGTTAAATTCTTCATAAAGAATCCATCTAAAAAGAATACTTTCTTTGGTTAAAAGCTACTTAAATCAGAGTTAATAAGGACAAAAGGCAAAAGCAAAATAGGAATGAGTACATTTTACTTTAGATTTTTAAGGAGAATTTGTGTTCTCAGACTATCACTGTTTAAGCTAAAATAAATTTTAATCCAAGACAGAAATAATATTTAAGTGGTAAATAAAACTGTGTAAAGCTGGGCTAGAAATAAACACATCAAAATCATAAAGATGGATGTGTTTTAGTATTAGCAAGTATTTTCTCTATGTTCTAAAATTTCTGTAATGTTAGACTGCTTTCATTAGAAAATGGAAAAAATAAACCCCACTTTTAAATGAGACTTCTAGGGCAGAGACAGCCTACAGAATTTCTGGCACATGTGCAGAAGGAATAATGTACAATCAGACTGACCATTATAGCAAAGTCTCCGTGAAAAATCAGAAAGAACCTAAAAGTCTCCTTTCCCAGGAGCATGGACGAATCAATCAGGATATATTCATACAGTGGAATACTTTAGAGAGGGAAAAAATGAACTAGTTATGTATGTGTCAACACAGATCAATTTTATAAACCAATGTTAAGCCAAAAAAGCATGTTGCAAAAGGTTACAGAGAGTAAGACAACTCTAAGTAAAATATTTAAAGCATGCAAAACAATACTGCACATTGTTTCAATGATACAAATCCAACTGGTAAAATTATTAGGAGATACACTGCAATTTAATCGGAAATTTAGAATAGAGGTTACCTCCAGGGGAAAGAAAGGTGAGAAAAAAGAAAGAAGAAAAAGTCATCTATATTCCTTCTCCATAGCTAGGTGGCTCTATCATCAACTTTTAAAACTGTGGTATAAGCTTCAGGGTCCTCCTTCAGTTCCCACGTTCACACACTATAGCAAAATGCCAAGACCTTTTGCAACGGCTGTTCCCTCTGCCTGTAATATTTTTTCCATTCTGAACGTGGCCCACCCACTCTCTCCTGTCATTCAGATATGGTGCCACCCTCTCAGAAGGGCTTTCTTTAATCACCCTATTGAAATAACCCTGTCATTCTCGATCCCCTTATCTTGCTTCACATGTTCTTCACAGCTTGACGGCTGGCCACCTGGCATTACGGATTTATTTAAATTGTCCTTCTCTCCCAAGATATGAGCTCTATTAGGAAAGGTCTCTGTCTTTCTTATTTGCTGTTGAATCGACATTGCTTAGACGAGTGCTGGACACAAACTCAACGTTGGCTGACCAAAGAATTGTGTATTTCATTCTATATACATATATCTTTTTTTACTGTGATCCTAATAGTTTATAATATTGTGAAATTTCAGGTGTACATTATTGTTTGTCAGACACCATATAAATGTGCCCCTTTACCCTTTGTGCCCACCACCCACCCACCTTCCTCCTGGTAACCACTAAACTGTTCTCTTTGTCCATAAGTTTGTTTATCTTCCACAAGTAAGTGAAATCACATGGTATTTGTCTTATTCTGTCTGGCTTATTTCGCTTAACATAATACCCTCAAGGTCCATCCATGTGGTTGCGAATGGGACGATTTTGCCCTTTTTTATGGCTGAGTTGTAGTCCATTGTATATAGACATATCACATCTTCTTTATCCAATATCAGTCAATAGGCACTTGGGTTGCTTCCACATCTCGGCTATTGTGAATAGTGCTGCAGTGAACACAGGGGTGCATAGCTCTCTTTGAATTGTTGATTTCAAGTTCTTTGGATAAACACCCAGTAGTGGGATAGCTGGGTCATATGGTATCTCTATTTTTAATTTTTTGAGAAATTTCCATACTGTTTTCCATAGTGGCTGCACCAGTTTGCATTCCCACCAGCAGTGTATGAGAGTTCTCTTTTCTCCACAACCTGTCCAACATTTGTTGTTTTTTGTCTTGGTGATTATAGCCATTCTAACAGGCGTAAGGTGATATCTAAGTGTAGATTTGATTTGCATTTCCCTGATGTTGGCGATCTTCAGCATCTTTTCACATGCCTATTGGCCATCTGTATATCTGCTTTGGAAAAATGTTCATATCCTCTGCCCACTTTTTGATTGGGTTGTTAATTTTATTGTAGTTTTGTTCTGTGAGTTCTTTACATATTACGGAGATTAACCTCTTGTTGGATATATGATTTGCAAATATTTTCTCCCAGTTGGTGGTTGTTTTCTCATTTTGATCTTGGTTTCCTTTGCCTTCCAGAAGCTCTTTAGTCTGATGAAGTCCCACTTGTTTATTTTTTCTTTTGTTTCCCTTGTCGATGTAGACACGGTATTCAGAAAGATCCTTTTAAGTCCGATGTCAAAGATTGTACGACCTATAATTTCTTCTAGAAGTTTTATGGTTTCAGGTCTTACCTTCAAGTCTTTGGTCTATTTTGAGTCTATTTTTGTGTATGGACAAAGATACTGGTCTACTTTCATTCTTTTGCACGTGGCTGTCCAATTTTCCTGGTACCATTTGTTGAAGAGACTTTCCTTTTTCCATTGTTTGTTCTTGGCTCCTTTGTTAAAGATTAGCTGTCCGTAGATGTGTGGTTTTATTTCTGAGCTTTCAATGCTGTTCCATTGATCTGTGTGCCTGTTTTTGTACCAGTAGCATGCTGTTTTGATTACTACAGTTTTGTAATATATTTTGAAGTCAGGGACTGCAATGCCACCAGCTTTGTTCTTGTTTCTCAGGATTGCTTTGGCTATTCAGGCTCTTTTGTTGCCCCATACAAATTGTAGCATTCTTTGTTCTGTTTCTGTGAAGAATGTCATTAGGATTACGATTCTGATCCGGATTGTATTGAATCTGCAGATTGCTTTAGGTAATATGGACATTTCAACTATGTTTATTCTTCTAATCTATGTGCATGGAATCTCTTTCCATTTCTTTATGTCATTATCAATTTCTTTCAGTTACGTCTTACAGTTTTCCTTGTACAGGTCCTTTCACCTTCTTGGTTAAATTTATTCCTAGATATTTTTTTCTATTTGTTACAATTGTAAATGTGATTGTATTCTTGAGTTCTCATTCTGTTAGTTCGTTTATTAAAGTATAGAAATGCCACGGATTTTTGTAAGTTGACTTTGTACCCTGCAACTTTGCTGTAGTTGTTGATTATTTCTAATAGTTTTCATTCTATATGTATTTTAACCTACTTTTTTCCATTTATTTTAACATATATACCTTTAATGTTATTAAATACTTTTTCTAAAAATCATTTTTAAAGCTACACAGCAAGACAGTATTCCAACATACATATGCCATATAGCACAAACAATCTACTGTCAAACATTTGACTTTTTAAATAATTTTTGATATAAAAAATAACAGACATTCTTTAGACTCTGTGACCAATCATTATTTCCTTAGGATAAATTCCCCAATAAAAATGGTGAATCCATTTTTAAGGTCTTTGATAAATATTAACAAACTATCCTGTAGAAAGGCTACACTGTAGAGATTGATATCTACACTCAGTGGATGACCACCACAGCTTTACACTGTCAGCACCAATGTCTCTTTCAATCCTGCTAATTTACTATGTGGAAAAGGTATTCATTTATTCAGTGATTTTGTAATTATGTTACATACAAAGTTACTCTGGCTGCTCAAATCCAAGCTACCCTAAAGTCTGTGTGAACAGCATGGGAGGCTGGCTCACCCTGTCCTGTAAACGAGGTTTCTACACTCTCCTCCAGTCCCCCTGCAGCACTGAGGAGCAGTCTGCTGGGTGGCAGGGCACACAGCCCAGAGCAGACAAACTCAAGAGCACACTGGCTCAGACTCCCAAAGCTGAAGGCAGCCTGAGGTGGGAAACCAGAGCACTGCACTGCTCTTTCACTAAAGGAGTGATCTCACTCACTATGTTTCCTCACCTGGATTACACTGGTAATCTGCCCAAAAGGAAACAAACAAAAGGAAGCAGTACTTTTTTCTAGGTGAAAGGAAGAAAGCCAACACACATCTTATCTATATAAGCTGAAAATTAGTGAAAACTACCAGTAAACAGCATAAAACTATCGAAATGGCATATGTTTGAAATGGAAATATTCAGAAAGTATCATTTGCCTTTCAAAAAATTTTATCCACTGAGCTGTCAACCACAAATCTCCTAGACTTGACTGACGTACTTTATAATTGTCACCGTCAACCAAAGGTAAAAGATTGTCCATCTGTCAGGATGTCAAGAGAGTTCCTGAGCAGATCCTACAGACCCCACACCATGACTCCCAACAGCTCTGTCAGCAAAGGAGGGAGCTGGGCTGGGGAGACAGACCTGCTACCCCAAGGCAGGTGCAGAATGCCCAACAGAAACTCCTCCCAGGCCACAGCACAGGGCTATGCAGCTTCCCCAGCCCAGACCTGGAGGCTCCCCGACTCTGCAGCAGTACACTTCCCTACACTGCTACAAGGCTGCAGAGGACCTAAGTAACACGACTCTTTATTACCTTTTAACAAGAGTTCAATGCCACACAGCAACAACATCATGTTTTTTAAAATCTGATCAACTTATTTTTTACCCTTCAACTCTTAAAACTATACTCTAAACACTTAATAATTTAACTTAATTTCAAAAATCTTTTCTTTTACCAGAGGAGCCCAGTAGGTGTAGAGATAGCCTATTTTCAATGCTGGTACAAACTGTGAGCAGGATACTATCAGAAAATAGAGATTCAAGAAAAACTTGAATTGTTCATATAAAACCTAAAAAGGAAAAGAAAAAATTAACACAATCTCTGCAACGCATATCTTTAATACTGCAGTTAAATAATTAAAATCAGCACAATATCTAACTACATTTCCATCAAACAGTGAGAATATGCCCTGAGTCACAGTAAATTTAAAATCTTGACAGTGGCTTTCCAATAACTAAATCACAAATAAAGAGAGGTAAAGTTACCCCAAAATTATATTTAAAATAAACTGAAAAAACACCATTAGAACTTTCAACTATGTTAAAGGTGTCCTCCAAAAGATTTTTAATTTCCCGTATGCAATTTTCCAGTTTTCCACACTCATCTTCTATAAATCTTTATGTGTATGTCAATGCAAATGAGACAGCTAAACCTTCCTAATGTTAGTAAGTCAGTATATATACATATACAAAAATGCACATCTTGATAACAATTCAGAAAACCTTATAATGGAAAAGTCATGTTAACCTTATATTTATGAAATGATAAATATGACAGCCACGTTTTCTGAATGTGGACATCTGGGTAGCTTTACAGAGACTGAGTGAACAAGTAAAACGTACACAGGTACGACTTCACAAAAAAAAATGCCTAATCTCCTCTAAGTATTTACTTCCCTTAACGTATATGAAATGATAAAATATAAAAATATGTAAATTACAGACCAATTTTCAGAAAGACAGCTACCTATACCTTCTTTACAGTCTCTTGATAATTGATCTTCAACAATATTTCCAAATAAAAAATAAATATCATTATTCAATTAAATTTTAGGAACACAAATTGTGCAACTGTTTTTTTCAAATAGAATTATCTTTAAGGAAGAAAACCCAAGATCTGGTATATTAATAGAATTCTACTTACATATGCCTCAAATTATTAGATTTAAATTGAAAATCAAAATGGAACAAAACTCATGTTTATAGATGAGGAAATGGCACACTACTATTATAAGGAAACTTGCAAAGTGCAAATCAAAATCTCCTTAGATGCCATTTTTTTAATGCAACTTGTAAGGTACAGAAATTTAAACAAGAGCAGAGCAATGGGTTAAGTACTTATTGTCAGAGTCTGGAGCCAGAGTTTCACATAATTTACATCATCATACAGTTATGTGAGTGACTGAGAAATCGGTTACACTGATAACAAGTCGATATTCATAATCATGTTCAACTGCTGCCTAAAAATGTTTTGAGTCATTTTATAAATTAATCTCAGCAGGAGAGAAAGCTCTTTTCCTCAGTGATTTCTTTAAAATCTCAGTTAGCATAAATTATATCTATTAGCAATTCAGCAATTGCCATTTGTGCTAAAAATGGCATAGAATTCCTACTGTGCAATTACCAAATGTTTCTAAAATACTACGTCTTAGATGAAAAGACTAATTTAAGAGACAATATAAGAAAAAAAATCATTCACACAGTAACAGTTGTACAGACACATCCACAGGTATTTTCAGAATACAGCCAATCTCGGCAGGCTACGTGAATTTACTCTGATCAAAGTGAAACCGCACTGTTGATTTCAAACCACTGCAATCAACACTTTATTGTCTATGAATGAACTTCATGACCTTTAGGGAAATGTACAATTCTTAGCCAATCCAAGAGTATTTAATAATTTAAACCTAAGGAGAAACAGTAGCTTCATTCAATAAAGGTGAGAATATTTATCTGCCTGAAAGACAGTTTACATTTTATTGTCCTGCAAAAGACTAGTCTTTTAATTATGAAGCCATTAGTCTTGCATATTTTAATAAAGGAGCATATCAGACATCAAGTATTTGCCAACTATTACATAGATGAAGACAGGTGGTAGGGGATAATCAATGCCCAATATAAAGTCAGTCCAATAAATGCCCAATATGATTATTTAAATGAAAACATGAAAGATAAAGTAGCCTTCATTTCACATAATCAAGAGATTTTCTTGCACAATAGTACAATAGCTAATACCTAAAACATCTCAAAAACTTTGATATGGAAATATAACCAGTACCAGCTTTCTTTTGCCTTTAGAAAGATAAATCTATTAAAATAGAGAATCATGTGCAAAAAGCAAAAATTATTCAACTATTCTAAACCTATATAATCTCAGTTTTGTAATTTAAGTCAGAAATATCACTAACAACAAAAAAAGTAATGAAATACTTAAACTTCAGTATTTAAATTTAACATAATACCTGATTAAAGATAACTAATGATATAACAATATAACAAGGACTGAAATTTATAATGTGAAGTAGAAAAGATATCTATAAATGTATATTTTGTTACTGAGTCACGTTTATGTAAAAAATCATTTAACTTTCATTGTGAAGTTCCTTGGCAGGCTTTAAACATTATATTTTACTTTTCCCTCCAAACAGATTCCCAGCCAAACAAAATTTATTACTTATTTTCTGATAATTTTATTTAGCTTTACTTGATTATTTCTACAATAATATAATTATAACATTTATCTAGAACTGAAGGCAATAATCAAACTATAAATTTTCTTGAGTTTAACTCTATGATGGAGCCATTAAAAATGTGTATGAATTATTTAATAATTATCTGAAATACTGATGGTTCAAAAGCAAAAGGATGCTGATTTGGATATGACACAATTAACATGGAAAAAAATCTAAAAAGAAAACAATGAAAACAAAGGAAGGGAGCAATCTCTGATATGCAACCCATTTTCAAGAATTTAATAGTCTTACCCCAGGTATAAAGGTAAATACATTGTATTTTTGATTTTTTATAGAATTTCGAGGATGTTTTTCTTCACACTTTTCAGGATATCCAAGCCACACTGTGCGAGCTTTCAGTTCTCTCTTTCTTTGACAAATATTTATCAGCCAATCACAGCAACTGCATGAAACAAAAGATACATATTGCATATGCTTTTTAAAAAGTTTTTAAATTAATTCTAGGTATTTAGAGCCAATACTGATTGTTTCCATATTTACCAGACATGGATAGCAGACCTAATGCTAATCTGTAGGGCTTTTCTTAAAATAGGTCAGTTATACTAACTTAAATTTGACCTGAAAACACTGAAAGAGACTTGTATGCGTGTGAGATAAGAACTGCTGGAACCTCAGGGAAATTATCCTCCCTGTTTAAACTCTCTTACTGGCAAAGTAAAACCATTAACATTCTGAAGCAGTCAATTCCTTATATGCTGAGAAAATGATCCCCGAATGCTATTGATAATTCTCAATATACCATTCAGGGATTCCAAGACAAAGGTCCTCAGACATCATTAATCCAGGATGTGACCTCCTCTCTTCTCTGAGGTAATCAGTTTCTTCCTTCCTTAAAAGATGACTTTTCTAGTAGCCTTAATATAAAATCAAGACAAGGCTCAATTCAGTATTCAGAAAGGATACTAACGTTTACTGGGATATTCTAACAATATTAAAAGCTTGATATAAATATTTTCATATAGCTATCTTTATCTGTGCAATAAATACTTAAATTCTAAATCTATCCTCGCTCCAATAGTGTCAAGGGTCCAGGAACAACACGCTTCCCCTTCCTGGACATCAAACCACTACTTCCAGGTGGAGATTATAAATTTCCAGTGGGATAACTTTTCTTAAAATACTTCAGAAAATGATAAAAAGGTATCAAATTCATCTCTATTAAGCATAAAATAATCATGAATTTAAACTTCAGTATTAGCAATTTGGTTTAATTCAAATTTCCAAAATGCAAAGAAAGACTCAGAATGGTTTATTACGAGAAGTTGTTAAACCTCATCTTCTAAATGTAGCCAAGGCTAGAAGAGCAAGCCAGCAGGATAAAGCAGAAAGTCTTAACTCCACTTTGTGACAAAGTAGGCTCACAAGCTAACATGAAATTCTGCATGACGACAACAGTCTCAGAAGGTGTGGTTATAAAGGGAGGTCGACACATCAAGACTAAATCTTGGGATCCTGCACGTCCTCCCCCAGGGCGCACTATGCCTTTCCCCCAATCACACAGATCTCACTCTTTAGACTGACTTTACCAGACAGTGTTGCTTTACAAATCACCCACAGTGGCATCAGTGGTGGAGGGAATACGTATGTGTGCTGAAACTGAAATCAGCGTATCCCTACTGAATATCTTCCCAGTTCTCAGCTATGCTCAGAAAATCTTCAGTTTGGAAGGACAGGGGTTTGCCCTTCGGAAGCTCCCTGTCCTCGCGGTGTGGGCATTCGCCACAGGACTGCCAGCACTGCTATCCTGAGCAGCTACCCCGTGATCGGGCTGATGATGCCAAGGGCATGGCCAAGCAGGTCAGCACAAACTCCCTCCCATCCCACCTCCTGCTTCACCTGGAGCAGACAAAGAAAGATCCAACTCTGCAAGAACAGAAAGTTCTCATCACTGCCTGCCATCACTTTTTTAAAAGCAAATCAGAAGAGATAGCATCTCCACACATAAAGCATACTTTCAAATCTCCAACAATTATAAATTAGGGCATTATTAAACTGATTTAAGATTGTCAAAATAAGTATTCCCACCTTTACTGTTTTTCAGTGAGGGGGAGGGACTGGTCATGGAGAGTTCAGTAAAATGTTGGTAATATATGATCTTGTTTATTCTTGAATGAAACAAAAATTAAATAAGGCTTCAGGCAAAATATAATGAGCTTCCAATGACTGTATCTCACTTCCTATTGCTTTTACAGCACGGCCTAGATCCCCTCCCAAGGATTCTTGCCCCCCAGCCCAACCCACCTTAGCACACCCATACAAAACTGCCTCCTGCTTCACAAGCTCCTCCCCCCCAACAGATCTCAATTGCCACCCTCTTATCTAGTTAGAACATGTACTCCCAGTGCACAAAAATCCTAGTTATGTCACCCAAGTTATGCACTCATGTTGTACAAGCTAGGAGGGATTCTTTCTTAAACTTTGGATTTAATCGCAGTGTCTAACACCTGCAACTACTCTATATAGATGCCCAATTCCCACATTTTACATAAGAGAAAACTGGAGGCCACAAAGGTAAGTGATCTAAGACAAAACAACTGGTTAATGGCAGAGCTGAAACCAGCGCCTGGATCCCAACGATGTTCTCACCACACTAACAACAGTCAGGCTGGCTCTTCTCCATTTTTATAGGCTGCCTGTCCTTGGTCTAGTAAATAGCACAGCAGCCACTTAATAGATGATGAAAATAAATGAACAATTTATGAGGAGGCAACAAAACTCAATGGAAAAACATGAACTTTAAAGTCACGATTCTGGAGACAAAATTCAACCATAAAAACGATGATAAGATGGGCAGGCCCCGTGGCCCTAGGGTTAAGTTCAGCATGCTCTGCTTTGGTGGCCTGGGTTCAGTTCCCGGGCACCGACCCACACCACTTATCGGCAGCCATGCTATGGTTGGCAACCCACATACAAAAGAGAGGAAGACTGGCACAGATATCAACTCAGACAGAATCTTCCTCAGCGAAAAAAGAAGGGAATGACAAGATTAGTGTTAACACACTGTGAAGTCCCTGGCACAATGCCTGTCACAGAGGAAGCACTCAAGGAGCTCTGCTGTCACTCTACTGCCTTCCAGTGTCAAAACGTCTCCAACCTTATAGCACTAACTCTCGCACAAAAACTGAATATATCTGTACTGTCCAATAAAGCATCCATCGCCCACATGTAGTTATTTTAATTTGAGTTAATTAAAATTAAGTGAAATAAGTCCAGTTCCTCAGTCACAGTAGCCACATTTCAAGAGCTCAATGGCCACTTTGGCTCATGACTGCCACACACACATATGACATTTCAGACACCAGGATCTGAAATATTCCTATAATCAGGGAGAGCAACTGAGCACGGCTAGTGTACACCAAGCACCCTGGGGGCAGGCACAACAGGTGAGTATGGGCTTTGTACATGCAAATTCCCTTCAGCATTTCAAACATGACAAAAATCCTCGAGGAATGTATTCACATATGCATTTTTGTTCCCAAAAACATAATTACCTAGTCTGATGGTTTAATGTACAAAAGTCAGACAAATCTAAGATGAAACAGATAGGCAAAATTTAGTGTTTGAAAAAATACATATGAAATTTAGAAAGTGTGGATTTTACAGAGTTTATGCTGATGTCAACATATTCTTCTACAGGTAAAAGGCTCCATCAATGTAAAAGCACTGTTTGTCCAGTATGGCGGTCTGTATCACACGAACACTGGAAACATCAGCTTAGAGTCAAAACCTCAACAGCAACACCACTGTCAGCAGCACATGAAGTAAGATTCCAGTAGCTTCCACAGCCTCACATTCTATAAACCACGAATTAAATTTGTCTGCTGGTGTCGTGAAGTGGATTCCAACTGCTAGTGACCCTATGCACAGCAGAGTGGAACCCTGCTGGTCTTTCTACACCACCCTCTCATCTTCCAGCCCCAAGTCAGACAGTGCCTCACTGCTATTCATAGGGTTTTCACAGCCAATTTTTTCAGAAATGAGTGACCAGGTCCTTCTTCCTAGTCTGTCTAGTCTGGAAGCTCCGCTGAAACCTGTCCACCATGGGTGACCCTGCTGGTATTTGAAATACTGATGGTATAGCTTTCAAGGGCTAAAAACATATATATTTCACCAGTTTATTAATTTTTCTCTATAACCCTATACAGAAAAAAGTTATGATTCCTAGACTTCCAAGATGTAACTAAATTATTCATAACACTTTGCTACTAAAGAAGCTGGGTACCTGAGGGTTACTATAGACCTTAACCAATTTGCTGTTTTTCCTGTTTAACTTGAGGGGTGACTCAAGGGTCTGGGGATTTGTGAGCTTGTTTTGCAGAAGAAAGAGAATGCCTTCAGGAAGGTTGCAATCACCACCCTTTGTCTCCGCGAAGCTCCTCCTGCCAAGTCCCTTAGCTCTACAAAAACCCTTTGCTTTCTGTTCTTGAGGAGGTGGATTTGGGCAAACCCAGGCTCCCACCTACTCGTTTTGGCCAATTCAAATAAATCTTTCTCCATCTCCAAGTACCGATGTCTCAGTGTTTGGCTTACTGTGCATCAGGCACAGGAACTTGAGATTAAGAAGTTCGGTATCACGAATAACTATTAACAAATGAAAGTGTTATTAATTATTTCCTTACGTAAAGACAGAACAGAGGAGTGGTTAGGGAGCCACTATCACACGCTACTTCACAAAATTAAATGAATACACAGGATTGGGGTTTTAAAAGCCTGTGATTCCACCAGAATTGCTACTGGATTATGCAGATAGAATACAGGACCAGAAAGGGAAGACAGGTGACTTCAATGCTAAAAGTAAAGGGCATAAATCCAAAAATAAAGAGAATACTTGTAATCAAGAAAGTATGTGTAAGCCTTGAGTTACAGAGCTAAGGGAGAAAATAAAATAATGAACAATTTTTGAGGGCAAAGTATACTGACAAATACTGATAAATGAGAGGGAAAACCAAAAAGAGGATCTTGGAAGAAAATAACTAGGAGCTTTATCTAATGACATTTCTATGCATACTAAATATTTTCTAAATTATTGATTATTCAGAAGACACTTTCTCATTTATATATAAATCGCCCTACATCATCAACTCGAAGTGAAACTAAATCCAAAAGTGCACAAATTATACTTTTTCTTAAAACGTTTTAGGATTAGTAGCTTTTCACAAACGACTATAATCAAAGAAGTACTCTAATATTAAATACAGCATCTTTATATACCAAGATCATATCTTCTAAAAATTTTAACTACCCATAGTTAAATAACTCCCAAAATTTAGAAAGCCTCCTCCTCCAAAAAAAAAAGACAATTATTATATCCAACAGGTACCCTTGGTTACCAAACCAAAAGCAACACAGTACTCACGTCTTCTTAAAAGATCAGCATTTTCC